GGTTTGTGTGTGTTTTCTTCTGGTAGATGGTGTGTCCTAGGGAGCCATTGGATTTCTTGTAGACTAGGACATCCAGGAAGGGGAGTTGGTTATTAGCTTCTGTTTCCATGGTGAACTGTATTTTGGGGTGTAGGCTGTTGAGGTGTGTGAGGAAGTTGTCCAGTTTTTCTTTCCCATGTGGCCAGATTATGAAGGTGTCCTCTACGTACCTGAGCCAGAGTTTGGGTTTGTGATCAGATTTTTCTAGAGCTTGGGTTTCAAAGTGTTCCATGTAGAGGTTTGCAATGACAGGTGAGAGGGGTGATCCCATGGGTGCTCCTTCTATTTATTTGTATTTTTGTCCGTTATAGATGAAGTATGTGTTGGATAGGCAGTGGTTGGTGAGATCTAGGATGTGCTTGGGGGGGTTATATTGGTTTTGGATAGCTGTCAAGTCCCATTCGTCATCTTCAGGCTGGTGTCTTCAGCTTCGTGCTTCTAGGAGTAGTGTGCGATCGCAGTAGTGTGCGATCGCAGTAGTGTGCGAAGACACCAGCATAATAATCCTACCAGCAGACAAGGGCAACGCCACGGTGGTTATGAGCACATCTGACTACCAAACCAAATTAACCAACCTACTCCAAGACTCCAAGACTCCACGAACACGAAGCCAAACAATAGCAACGAAGCTCACCATCTCAAATCCCCCTGCAACTCAGACTAACCTGAGCACAACAAAGCCCCCACCCAAACAGAACACTCCCCCATCCAATCAGAGCACAGCCAAGCTCCTTAACCAATCAGAACACACCTCCACCCAATCAGAACACAGCCAAGCTCCCACGCAATCAGTTCAAACCCCACTGGCACTTAAAAGGAAGAAAAAGCTGCGATCACACATTACTCCTAGAAGCACGAAGCTGAAAACACCAGCCTGAAGATGACGAATGGGACTTCGTCGAAACGTCGCCAAGACACTTCCAATTTTATGCGGGAGAATAACCAAAGACAGTGTTACCTTCATTTTAGATATCAAAAGGGTTTTGTGGCTCCCAGTGTTTTGTTTTCGGTGGGAAACGGGTCCAAGTGGCTCTTTGAGTGTTTTGGATTGCCTACCCCTGGTTTAGGGGATGTCAGTGTCAGTGTTCTTCTGTTTATAAGGGCTTTGTGTGGTCATGGGTCTTGTGATGGGTTAGGTGTACGTGTGTCAAGTGAAGGTCTTCTGATGAGTCTTGTGAGGGGTCAGGTGTGGGTATGTCAAGTGAGGGTCTTGTAATGGGTGTTGTGACGGATCAGATGTGAGTCATCAGTGGGAGTCTTGTGATGGGTCTTGTGATGGGTAAGTTACATCAGATGAGAGTCATTGGGTGGTGAAGTGCTGATTGGGGAGGACTTGTGTGAGATGGTTGAGGGTTGGTGCTGTTTCTGGTTGGCTGTGCAGTTGATTTGGATTCTGAGGGGTTCATAGGTTGGTTGTAGGTCAATGTGTCTGTTGATGAAATTGCTTGTGGAGTGCCAGGCTTTGATGAACTCAAGAGCATGGCAGGTGGTAGCACGGCCAATGATTTTTGTGTTGCTCCAATTGGTCTGGTGTTGTTTGGTGTTGGTGTGAGTAGAGATTAAGGATTTGGGATTGTGGCATTTGACTGCCAGCCAGTATTCTTGGATCCTTCACCCTCATTTAGACTTATATACTGCTTCATAGTGCTTTACAGCACTCTCTAAATGGTTACAGAGTCAACCAACAATCTGAGTCCTCATTTTACTGACCTCGGAAGGATAGAAGTCAGAGTCAATCTTGAGCCAGTGAGGACTGAACTCCTGGCAGTGAGCTGTATTAGCCTGCAATACTGCATTCTAACCATTGTGCCATTGCGGTTCATAAACTGATATGTGACATTCAGCAACTCTGCCACCAAAAATTTCAAAAGCTCTAACAAACAAAAATATTAGTTTAAAAAAAGGGCAAAAACTCATCTACTAAATAGGATTGCCACTAAAAAAATAGAACAAAACTGTTTGTGGTACCAATGAAGGAGAATATTTGTAGCTCAGGGTTGAAATGAGGGGTCCTTGGTGCTCTCTGACCTTGTTTTCTTGCAGATGTTTCATTATCCTAACTAGGTAACATCATCAGTGCTAGTAAGGAGTGCTGTTTGCTGTCAGTTTATATACTGGTGTCTTGCCTGCTGTGTGGGTGGGGCTGGTCTTGATTGTTGATCTGATTGTTGTTAATGTCTATGTGTCTATTGATGGCTGATTTGTCAGAGTACCAGGCATGATGAAAATTCTTTAATTTCACAAGATATAGACAGATTTAACCATTGTTTCAATTGGGAAAGTATGACAATCCTAGACCAGGTCAAATGCAAAAATGCCAGGGAATTTCTAGAAGCCTGGCACTCTGACAAATCAGCCATCAATAGACACATAGACATTAACAACATCTATAGACTATGCAAAAAAGACAATCAACTAACCCAAAAGAGAAAAAGTCTCCAGCACCTCTCCACCAGTAATCAGCATTCAGATCAGCATAGATCTGAATGGTCAACTTCAGACCAACAATCAAGTAAGCTAAAAACTGCCAAAGAGCCATTAGTAAACAGCCCAACCAAACAATCCCTAAGACTGCGCCCACCCAAACAGACAGGTAAGACACGGAATATAAACCGACAGCAAAGAGCACTCCTTACTAGCACTGATGATATTACCTAGTTAGGGTAATGAGAACATCTGCAAGAAAACAAGCAAGCTCAGAGCACCAAGGACCCCTCACAAAACTCTTTCCACAGATATGGGTGTTAGATTTGGTTCTAACTCTCCCTGGAGTATTAAGTATTTTAAAACTTTAAAATACAATGACATAATATTATTAATGCCAGTTTAAATACAGTTTTCTTTTGATTTTATGAAACCTGACATGTAGTCATAGTCTTGTGTGAATAAGTGATATGTTTCTGTAGTACTGTAATTATTAGACGATTACTTCTTGATATGGGTAAATGTCCATGAAGGTGGAAGAAAACGGTTAAGCTTTATTTATTTTTATACTGCTAAGTGTTGTAACAATAGACCAATTTCCATGTGGCATTTAGATTTTGTTGATATGTAAGGCAAGAATCTCTGGAGACTTAGTGTAGAATTTTGCCCTGAGCTGACAGGCTTAAATTTCTATTTATGTATAAATATGCATCTTTTGAAACAATTTAAAAATGAGTAAGGTGCCGGGATTTTTCAGTGATGTATCAAGGAGAAAAACCAAGTCCAGGTAAGCATATATATCATATATAAGATTATCAGTCAAACAAAAAAAGTGCAAAGTTTTAATATATTAACCCTGGGATTCCTCATTATAGAATTGCATTAAAAATAATTTTCCTATTGTAGTCTGTGTTTTGTGAGATTCATGTGTGCTTCTCTAATGCAGTGGTCCCCAATCTTTGTGGTTTGGCAGCCCAACTGTAGGGGAGAGGGGTACCATGCTGTGTGAGTGGTGGGCTGGTGCGCATGCTGTGTGTACAGCTTGACTCGCATAAGCATCAGGTTGCCGCGCATGTGCATGCACATGCAGCTCGACTGCAAGTGGAGCTGCACATGCATGCGTGTGCCAGCCTGCTATTCGCATGAGTCGAGCTGTGAATGCATGTGTGTGCTGGCCCGTGGCTTGGTTGCGAACAGGCCACAGCCCGGTAGTGGGCCACGGCCTGGGAGTTGGGAATCCCTGCTCTAATGGAACGATTAATCCAGAGCCACTGTGACAACCCCATGGATTTTGAATGTGAACACAAATGTAAACATTTAGTTCTTTTTCATCTAAGCTGGTACTTTTTTTTTTAATTCTTTCAATAAAAATCTGATTAAGCATTATTTGGGATATGTGTCTAACAACAAGGGTGTTTGACTGGCCCTAGTTATGCATACAACAAACAAAGACAAACATTATTCTTGAAGAAACAAAATTCAAATATGTGCAAGTACTCTAAAATGTTGTTTTTATTTTTGGAATTAATATTAATGTACCTTTAGTTTCTCTTGAGTTCTTTCTCAAGAGTATTTCTGTCTTACAATTCCTCCAAAATAAAAGGATGGGGCATTTTTTACCCTACATTTTTAATAGCTAGGAATAGAATATAATTGAAAATAGCAGATAAAATTCTCTTCTGAAAGAGTTACAAAGGAGGAACATTGCTAAAGAATCTTAGAACAAGAGGAAAATATCTTGTTATTTTATAAGATCTACAGTTATTTTATAAATGTTAGCACAATCAATCAATGTTACTAAAGGAAATAAATTAGACAAAATCTGACCTGGTTGTTATGGAATAATCTGAATTGAATTTAGGTTGCAATCATATAAACATGTTCCTCTGTGCCATTTTTCTTATAGGCAATAGACAAGCATCAGGTTGTATTCTCAAACATTTATGTATCACCCAACCATATTGTTGCTTCAAATATTACATTTTCCATGAGCCTAAGAGTTTTTGTATTGAGCTGCTGTCATAATGTACCATATCATTAGTCAGTACATGTTGCTGCTGTTTTTTTCATCATGTTGCATGATACTGACAGTTTGTGGCTTTTATGTATTTCCAGCCAAGCCCATCTACCTCAAGTCTGAGTTCTACTCATTCTGCTTCACCTAATGTGACCAGCTCTGCTCCATCCAGTGCCAGAGGTTAGTGTTTTATTACACAAAGATCCTTATGGAATCTTCCTGGATCAAAACTATACTACTAGGTCTGAATCACATTATATGGAAATTCTATATGGGATATAAGCCTCTGTAAATTCTTTATCCAATATGTGTCTCCCACCAAAATAATCCATCATATTGCAGACTGAAGAATTGCTTTGATTCTCTAAGTTTGTCTTGTATTTCAGGCTCACCTCTGTTATCAGACAAGCTTAAACATTCCAGAGAAAACTCTTGCCTATCTCCAAGGGAGAGGCCCTGTAGTGCTGTTTACCCTAATCCTGCTGAGCTTTCACAGGTAGGCATTACTCAGGGTGCAGTAAAAGAGCTACATTCCTGAAAATGAACTGTTGTGGTAGACAAATGTTTTAGATCATCTTATTGATTCTTATTATTTTAAAGTTCTATAATCTCAATTTATAAGGAGGGTCTGGTCTGATTAGTGCTTGGATGGGAGGCTTCTGGGGCTGTACCATGTTATAGCAGGAACTTAAAACAAAACAAAACCATGTCCATACTGTTGCTAAAACCCTACATGCATATATTCATGAACTTCTAAGGAGTAAACCTTTTTGAATTTATGAATAGAGTAAGTGGTAATTTCAGGAAAATCAGTTTGATCCCGATTGTTGATTGCTATTCAGATCCAGAAAAAATGAAAAACTCTAGGTTGTCTGCTTCTGGCTTACCTATACCAACTTTTGAGCCCTTTCTTTAAGGATATCAGATACAGATGTTGTTTCTTTTGTTAATAAAATCACCTTTTATTTTAAAGTAGGCAAAGACTGTATGAAGTAAGGGCATGAATGGCCATTTTTCACTTACATATCTCATCTCTAAGTAAAGACATTATTTGTATCTAATACATGTTTAAGACCTCTGCAGTTCTTTCCATTTTATCACATAATTAGCAATGTATTTCTGATACTGAGACTTGGATATGATATGATCCACTTCCTCTTGATCTCTGGAATCCTAGGTTGCTTTCTATAAAACTGTCCTTGCAGAGGATCTTAATTTAGAAAAAAATGTGTACTGTTGTTATACCTATTTAAATATCGGCAATTCATTTTTCAAGGAAGAAAATACTGGTTTATAGTTGACTTTGTGGCTTTATCACATGATTACGTATAGTCTTGACATGTTACTATAATAGGCTTTACTCAGTAACAGTTATGTCTTGGCAAATACTAATTCCAAATTCTTCCTGAACTTTTTTAACCATCCTCTGGAGCAGCTAGAATAGGAAATAGCACGGAAAAATCTATGTGGTGGCTTTTAAGACATGCCACACAAAGTACTGTGCCCTTTTTGCTCCCAGCCTGCAAATTCTTTGCCAAGTGAAATGAAGGTTCCATTCTGCAATGTATCACCAAGAGATTCACCAAGAGACCCCGAGGAGCAGGTAGGCCCAGTGGGTGCTCATTCATTCCTCATTCAGCAGGAAAATCTCCCAATGTGTCAACATCTTCAGTAGCCCCCAGCAGGATAAATAATAAAAAATATTTTTCTCATGCAAGCATTGTGAATTAGGCCTTGAACAGTTTGTTTTTGCCTTAATACCTTAAACTAAATCTAAAAGATGAGGATAATTTAGATGAAGTCCCTTTCTTGAAAAACAGCACTTTTGGGTTAACATACAGTAGGGACACTGTCGAAATTGCATATATCTTTGTCAGAGGTGGCATAGATATTGCTTGGAAATATAGTTTTCTTAGAATCCTGACACAAGATCAATGTAGTTATTTCACTGCAGGGAAAAAAAATAGATAAGTCATTCCTATCAGAATGGTAAAATGGTGAGCAAGACTTGGCCACAGATCTGTCCTGTCAGCTTTTTTGTGTTTGGATCGGGAATATATCCATCAAACTCTGTCATTCTTTTCCATGCTAACCTTTTATTGTTGTACTTGCCATGTCACAAAACAAAGATCAAATCATATCACAGCTTTTGTTAAGGATATATATGTAAAATATGGCATCAGCTTTAGTTTCCCAGATGCCATATATTATATTGTGTGACTTAATTATGCTCTGAATTCATGTGCTGGGATGTTATACTATTGAGTATGGTTAATCAGAAAACTATTATTATTGTTGTTGTTGTTGTTGTTGTTCATCACATACAGCCAGATATTTAGACTGGATTTGGCATTTGTATGCACCTATTGAGTCTTTCCAAAGGACTTGGGATAGGCAGATGTGTTGGCTGATAGTGTGACCAACCATAATAATAATAAACTGGCCTATAAGAAATACCAAATGAAGAATAAAAAAGAGAAATGGCCAGTACATTAAAAAAAATAGCAAGCAAAGAGAACAACAAGGCCTGGCAATGGTTAATAGCAGTAAAATTGAAGAAAGAGACAAAGGGGCTAATTCTGACTGCACAAAACAGAATGCACAGAAAACCAGAACTGAGAAACAGCACCAGACAGCAAATGTCATCTCCCCAAACAAGCTGAAGAAACAGTGGACCATCTAGTTAGCACTGCAAGAAGATCATAGGCTGACTACAAACAACAGCACACAATGGTGTGCTGGAATATCTGCAAGAAATATCTCTTGCCTGCAAGCAAGAACTAGTGCAGGGGTAGGCAACCCAAAACACTCAAAGAGCCACTTGGACCCTTTTCCCACTGAAAACAAAACACTGGGAGCTGTAAAACCCTTTTGATATCTAAAATGAAGATAACACTGCATATATCCTTTTTTACCATATATATACTAGCTGTACCCGGCCACGCGTTGCTGTGGCTCAGTCTGGTTAAATTTACGTCCAACAGATGGCACTGTTTTTCAAAAAAAGCATGTTTTTACTTGTCACATGTGTGACATCTATATAATAGTAGGTATATAAAAACACGCGCGTATTTGAATGCAACATTGTGTCAAAATTTCAAAGCAATCGGTGAAGAACTTTCGGAGATTTAAGATTTTGAACAAACGAACATTTACACATATAATCATAAAGGTAAAAAAGGGTATATGCAGTGTTATCTCCATTTTAGATGTCAAAAGGGTCTCTTTCTCTGCCTCTCTCTCTCCCTCTCCCTCTCCCTCTTTCTGCCCTTGGTCTGCCAGTCCTCTTCCCCCAAGAGGACCTCTCTCTCTTTCCTCTCCCTCTCTTTCTTTCTCTCTCTCTCTTTCTCACCCCCTCTCTCTTTCCTCTCCCTCTCTCTCTTTCTTTCTTTCTCTCTCTCTCTCTTTCTCTTTCTTTCTCTCTTTCTCTCCCTTTCTCTCTCTCCCCCCCCTCCCTCTCTCTGATCTTCTGCTCACCTGGCAAGCTGGCTTCAAGCTGTTCTCCAACAAGCTCAGGGGTAGGCAACCTCAGCTCTTTTATGACTCATGGATTTCAACTCCCAGAATTCCTGAGCCAGCATAGCTGGCCTAGCTAGCTCTCTACTGCCCTTCCTGCTTCCTGTTTCCTGCAGAGACGCAGCCAAGGCAGGAGCTCCACCCAGTAAGCTTTTCAGCTCATCGGAGAACACCGTGAGTCCACTCTCTTTTTTTTACACACACACACACACACACACACAACACAAAACACAAACACAAACACACAGAGAGAGAGGAAGAGGGAGAGGGAGAGAGAGAGAGAAGCTCTGTGTCTCTCTCTCTGCAAATGGCAGAGGAGGCTGGGAGCCACAGGGGAAGGCTCAAAGAGCCACATGTGGCTCCGGAGCCACAGATTGCCGACCTGTGAACTAGTGGGACCACAAAACAGGGAAAATAATAGAAAATGAAGAAGTTAAAGTGCTGTAGAACTTTAGGTTTCAAATAGACAAGCATCTGCCACACATCTTAGAATTCAAACAGACAACAATCTCCCAATACAACAACTGGTGGTTTTGGGTTGTTGTTGTTTTTTTTAATTTTTTTAAGTTTATCAGGATATAAAATACAAAATAAAATGAAAACAGTGGGAAATGGAAAAAGGGAAGGAAAATAGTGTAGAATAAAGGGGGGAAAGAAAGAAAATTGTTAATAAGAAAGACAAAAAAGACTGGGAAGTGGATATTGCAATACCTGGAGATGGCAGAAAAGAAAGAATTAGAAAAAAAACACAGCATATAAAGACCTGCAAATAGAAGTAGAACAGCTGTGGCAAAAGAAAGCAAAAGTAGTACCAATAATTGCCTTTGGTGTAATTCCAAAACATCTGGAGCACTATTTGAACAGAACTGGCATTGACAAAAACACCATCAGTCAATTGCAAAAAGCAGCTTCACTTGAAACAGCTTACATCCTGTGACAATACTTTAATATTATTAAACAACATGTACCTATCCCAGGTCCTTGGGAAGGTCTCAATAGGTGGACGAAAATGCCAAATCCAGTCTAAACATCTGGTTGACTGTATGACCATCCATAATTCACGTTTTTAAATGGTAAGATGGCTGAATCATCAAAATCTGTCTTGTGTTTATTCTCTATGCTGAAACCCTGCATGTTTTCTCCTTGTGATGAAATTATGCTTACATTTACTGACTGCATTTTCATGTAGTTGTCACATCTTTTTTTCTCCTTAGTACAGCATGAGTGGTAAATATATTGCTTCTCATAAATATATTGCTTACTTTAGATATCCCACAATTTTACATGTTGATTTGCTTCTACTGTTTTATCACTGACTTCATTTCCTTTGGCTGAGTCCTATATATTTTCTCACTGAAAAGCTGTTACATTATATTCTTTTTTTTTTCAATAAAATTTTTATTATTTTCATCGTAAAAAGAAAACATACAAATACAACACAAATATAATATAAAACCCGCATCCCCCCCCCCGAGACTTCCCAAACCTAATCCCAGGATAATATTCAAATATAAGTAAACAATTAATAATATCTCTAACTCCACAAGGTATATAAGTTCTGGATGAATAAAAGAAATATATACATAAAAAAGAACCAGTTAATTAAAAACCTAAATTATATTCCACTATTCTATGCTTCTTTTGTATATAAACAATCCATCTTCTCCATATAGATAAAAATTGTTCATTTGAGTGGTTCTTCAGATAAGCTGAAATCTTTGCCATTTCAGCAAGATGCGAAACTTTCAATCTCCAATCTTC